CCGTGGAGGCGATCCTTTGTAACCGTCGGTCTATCCACTGGAATTGCAGGACTGTTGGAATACCGTTGGGCGTTTCCGCTGTTTTTGTTTTGGGTGCATCTGTTTTTGCAATGCTGGGATGTTGCGTAAGTTGAAGGACATTGCGTAATTTTGCGTTTCACATAAGTAGTATTATTGGTTCGGATTTTAGGTTGCCTGACGATTAGTTCTGGGCAGAAGAGTTGCGATGTTCTCCGGGGCTGCTCAACGCATGTGCTCCAGATGGGATTCGCCCTGCTGTGCGCGGAGACGCGCTTCGACCGTCGTTCGTGGTTGCGCCGGGGTGGGCGACGTCGGGGGCGGCCGCGGAGCTCGTTGCCCGCGAGTGCTGGGGTGCGTTCGGTTCTGGTCTAGCTTTCTCGCGTCGCCCTGGCACGAGCGCTGCAGGCGCGACGCGCGCGATGCGTTGTTTTCTCCCCGCGCGCGCTGCCGCGCTGATCTTAGGTCGCTGCTGCGAAACGGTCGCCAGTGAAATGCTGGTGGTTCCATATGTGGGGTTTTCTGGGTGAACGTAATTTTTCCGATAGTGACTAGGCGTCGGCGCGCTGGGGCCGGCGTCGCCTGCGGCGGCGGCGGCGGCGGCAGATGGGGCCCCGGGCAGCTTGCAGGCGCCGCGCGCTACTATCCGCGCCCGGCCCGCCGCGGAGACCATGCGAGATCGCCCTAGGCCCGTTCGGGATGTCCGCGACCTTCGGGCAGGCAGCGAGCGAGAAGTCGACGGGCAGCGAACCTGCGATTCCGGGCACGACGCGCCCCGTTGTCGTCGGCGTGCTTGCGCGGCCGCGCTCGAACTCTCTCTGGCCGCCCCTGGCAAGGCCCCCCGCGCCGCCATCCGCCGCGTGCCCGTTCTGGCCCCCGCGCGGTCCGCGGGGCGCTGTGCGCTGCGGGCGCCGTTGGCGGGCCTGGCGCCGTCGGGGGCCGCCGCGGCGGCCGCGCGCGCGTGGGCGGCCGCGGCGGCGGCGCCCGCGGCAGGGGCCGCGGCGACGGCGCGCGCGAGGCCGGCCACGACGACGGCGGCGCCCGCGGCGCCCGCCGCGCCCGCGGCGTCAGCGGCGCCCAGGGCCCCTGCTGCGCAGGCGGGGCCTCTGGCCCCCGTGGAGCCAGCAGCGCCCGCGGCGCCATTTGCGCGCGCGGCGCAGGCGCTGCGGCGCCTTCGGCGGCGGGGCCGCCGCGGCCGCCGCGGCCGCCGCGGCGCGAGGCGCCGGCGGCGCCAGCGGCGGCCGCGGGCGCGCGGGGCGCCGGCGGCTGCAGGGCCAGCGGCGCGGGCGGCAGCAGCGCGCCGCTGCCGCCGCCGCGGCGCCGCGGGGGTCTCCGCGCCGGCGGCCGCGCCGAGCCGGCGGCAGCGGCGCGCGGCCCGGCCGCCCCGCCCAGGCCGCGCCTGCCGCCTCGAGCCCCGGCCCCGGCAGGGGGGCTCGAGCCAGGGTCGCGCGCCCTGCATGGGCGCGCCCGGCGCGCCCTGGCGCGCGCCCCGGAAGCGGTCTCTGGGCGCGGTGGGGCTCGGCCCCCTCGCGCGCTTTGCAAGGGTGCCTCGCGCGCCCTGGCGCGCGCGCCAGCAATGGCGCCAAGGGTCGCGGCGGTGCCCGACCTTCTCGCGCGCCGGGGGGGCGAGTTTGCGAGGTTGTCGCCAGCGACGGCCCCGCGCCCCCGGGCGCGCGCGCCAGAAATGGTTTCTGCGCGCGGGGCCTGGCGCCCTCGCGCGCCGGGGGCGGGGGTGGCGCGAGTTCCGCGGTGGCCCGCTCATTTTTCTTATATATATATACATATATATATATACATACATACATACATACCTGCATATATATATATATATATATATAAACGCGGGGAAGCGTCGCCGCGTGCGCTTAAATTCATGGCGGAGTGACTCCTGGCCAACGGTGCACGGGCGCGGTTCAACTGTTCTGGGGCATTGCGTTGACCTCAACTGGTTCGGGGGAGAAATCAGACAGAAGGCCGATATTGTAACCCGGGGCAGACTCGGCCCAGGGCCAAATGGTGCGAAGCTCAGGCAGCGCATGGCGCGACGTTGGAGATCAGGAGGAAAAGCAGCCCCGCGGAACAAGAATACGAGGGCCCCTCTGCCAAGTCATGAAGTTATGAAATGCCATGCTGTATTGGCCAGGGAAAACTATCTGGCGCAGGGCCGTTCGGACGCGCAGGTCTCAGTGAAGGAGCTTGCGCGTTCCATGTCGGCCCTGATCCGAGAGGCATAGGAAAGCAGTGCAAAACTGGGCAAGTGCTTCAATGACCGCGACAGGTGGATATCGGATTGTGCGTCGAGAACGTCACATGGAAGTAATCAACCCCATGGGCAGACGCCGATTACGCCAGGTGCGAGAGAACACGTAAGAAAGCAGGCAGAGGAAGAGTATCGCGGGATCAGATGTGATAAAGTCGTGGAGTGCGACTCAGAGCGTGCTGGCATTATCCTCCATGGAGACGCAGGGTATTTCGGAATGGTGCAAGGCGGCTAAGTAGCGTTAGGACTATCAACGGTCCTCAATGATACCGGTGTTGATTGGGATTTCGATAAGGAGCGATGCCAGCGCAGTAAGTGCCATTGCAAGCCGGCGAGTGTTAGGACAAGTCGGACAGATCGAAGTTTGTCTGCTTAGGCTACACGAGAAAATGCGATGACGATACGTTCAAGTTGCCAGAACAGGAACTCATGATAGCCTTGCGCGTGATTTAACAACATATGTGAGAAGGGACAACATGACCTCGCATATGCGAGGTACCAACCAACATATTGTTAACGGAAAGCACGAACTCGCTCCCGCTACGTGGTGGTAGCTGACTGCGGTTCGGTGTGACCGTCGCGCGCCGCTTTGCCGGGTACTCGCGTTCAGGATCAATTTGTGTCCGAGTGCTCGTGTACGCGATTCGACGCCCACTCAACAAAATATGTTCCTCAGTTTGCATGTCTTGTTGCTTTGCGACGCTGGGCTAACGTAGATCGCGTGTTAGGAGGCCCCTTCATGTTCACGCCCAATTCATAGTCGTCTTCTGCTTGCACAGTCATACTTAAACCAACTCGCTGTACAATTTGGTCTGATAGGATGGAGTCCTGGCTTCTCTGCGCTACCTACTTGCTTAGTATCCATTCGTTACCCAATCGCTTTTGCCAATTTCATGTCGTCCAGTTCCACAGTCGCCTTATCATCCGAGGGTGGTGGTGGTGGTGGTTCCGGTTGTGGTGTTCTCACTGAGCAGGATTTGTTGGTCTGATTGTAGCATTCGCGCATCAACACAGTCTTACACCAGAGGATTTCTTAATTTGGTGTTTGGTTCCAGTATTGTTGCGCTGCCGCGCAAACGTTCCAATGCTTCTCTCCCAGGAGGAGGACACGGACGAAGAGAACGATGCTGGTGATGATGTTGATGTGGTTGTTGCCGATGATGATGCTGATGATGCTGATGATGATGCGGATGCTGTTGTCGATGACGATGATGATGATGATGTTGCTGATGGTGGTGGTGGTGATGATGATGATGGTAACGGTGCTACTGATGATGGTGTTGGTGATGGAGAGGAGGACAAGAGGTGGAGGAGGAGGAGGAACACAAGGAGGATGAAAATACTGAGGAGGAGGAGAAGGAAAAGGAGGAGGAGGAAAAGAAATGGGAAGACCGTCGTATGCCACCTTTCGTTTTCTCCTTTGGCTTGGAGCTCTCATGGAATGCATTTGGGCCGTGTTTGGGCTGTCTTGGCCTCCTGTGGGGTCCCTCGAGGCTGCCTTGCGGCCGGTTCGAGCCGCATTCGGGCCGTCCGTGGGCCGTCTTTGGGCTCTACTTTGCCATCTTGGGACCTTTTTGGCCGTGTCGGGGGCTCGGGGGCCGTGCCGTCTTAGACCACTTGGGGACGTTGTGGATCTCTCCAGAGTCCCTCTGTGGCCGTTTTGGGGCTGTCCTGGATGCCTCTTGGGACATTGCGGAGTCCTCTTGGGCCATGCTGGGAACCTCTTGGGGCCGTCCTGGTGCCATTTTGGAGATTTCTTGGGCCGGCTTGGGCCAACGGGAGCTCGAACAGGAGCCCCCTCCGACAATCAATGTGTTACCCAGCGTGGATTCCATTGTGATGGTGGCAACTATGAGGTGTAAGCTATGTGGTGAAAGCTATGTCGTATACGCCATGTGGCGTGAGCTACGGGTGGGAACGCTGTGCGGTGCCGGCTATGTGGTGTAAGCTATGTTGGGTAAGCTGCGCGGTGTGAGTTGGAGGTGAACTGTATAGGATGCAAGTGTTGTGATGTCAGCCATGTAGTGTAAGCCACGTGGTGCAAGCTGTGTGGTGTAAGCTACGTGGTGAATGTCACGTCGTGTAGCTCAGAGCACGGAGCGCTTACGAGACGCCCATTGGCCGTTGCGGACGGTAAAGTGGCGCAGCCTCGGGAAGCCTGCCCAACGCACGGGGAGCCCTCGGCGAGCCCACCTGGCGCACGGGGCGCCCACGAGGCGCCCACGAGGCGCCGCGTGGGGGAACCTCGGCGAGCCCACCCAGCGCACGGGGCGCCCACGAGGCGCCCACGAGGCGGCACGGGGCGGCAACGTGGCGAGCACATGGCGAAGCCATTCAACGGCTTACCAACCCAAGCAAGATCCCCCAAGTGCCAGCACTGTTCAGGGTCTTCACGCTGCCCTCTTGGTCTCTCTTGGTTCGTCTTCAGGCCATCTTGGGCCTCCGTCGTGAAACGCTTTCGAGGCATCTTGGGCCATCTTGGCGGCCTTGGTTGCCTGCCTGGGCCGTCTTGGAAACTCGGGGCGCGGATCCGTTTTCTCACGAGGATCGCAGCCTCGGGAACGCGGGTCCATTGTGTTTTGCTAGTGATCGTAGCCCCTGGAAGGGGGGAGGGATGCGTGCAGCTGGATGCGACGATGAGAGGGGGGGCCCTGAGAAGAGTGCAGACAACCTGCCAGACATTACTTGGCATTCCATCACGCCTCAACGTGCCAGCGGGCAGCGTGGCGGATAACGATGACGATTTCACAGCGGAAGACATGTGCTGCGCGTGTGACGGGGGACTGACGCAGTGCAAGAGCCACGAAGAATGCGACGGTGACGGTGGTGGCATGTTCTGCAGCGCCCAGACCGGTCGCTGTGAGGAGTGCAGCATTTGCTTCTATTGTGGGCACGGAGTCGACAACACGTGCGGCTGTTGCGGCGATCATTACCCTTTGTTTGAAGGTACATGCAATGGGACTTTGTCCTGCCTCTCAACGCACTTGTGCGTTGACGACCAAGGCGCTGTTGATCTTTATGGGTACGTCTGCGATGACTACGGTAAGTGGATTGCTTGTGGCGAGGGTGACGACACGGACTTTACCGCCAGCCTCATGTGTTGTGCTTGCCGTGGCGGCGTCGCTGATTCTGCGTCCGAGGGTGCTGAGCTGCTCGGGAGCCCGTTCTGGCTCACGACGTTTTCCTCAGTTTCTGACAACAACTTTATTGGTCAGGCCGGCTTCTCCTTCACCAACTACTTCGGCGTTTTGCAAATCACAGCTTTGGGCCGCCCATTGCCTCTGACAGCCTCGACGCGCGTGACGTTGTGGGATTCGAGGACCGAGCAGGCTTTGGCGTTCGCGGAAGTAGGGCCGCATTCTATCACACATAATGGCTACGCATTGGAGGTTTTGTCGCCCCCAGTGACCATTTGGCCTGGTGAGTACCGCATTTCGCAGTGGTGCTTTATCGGCATGGATCCCTGGCCATTCGACACAACTACAGAGACAGTCAATGCAGCTACGGCGTTGACGGAAATGCTGTCATTCCACGGCGGGGTCGTTTCAGACTACGAGACCTCTGGCTACCCGTACCTAACTACCGGTGACGGTTATATGGCTGGAATGTTGCAGATGTACTTGTCGGAGGCCCCGTCGAATGTGCAGACGTTCAGGTTCACAGGGGGCGAGCAGTACTACGAAACGCTGGGCTACACACAGTTCCTGATGTACATCTACGGCGCTGGCGGTGGAAATCAGGCTCAATCAGGCGCGGCAGGTGGGTCGGGAGGCTACGCGCAAGCCACCGTCACTGTCCCGCCCGGCATCCAGCGCCTGAGTGTCGTTGTCGGGGAGGCCGGTTTGGATGGCGGTTCTCGGAGGGCGCCATCCCTTGAGATCCGACGTAGCAAGAAGATTGCGACATCGTGAAACATCACGCCCGGAGACCGTAGACCCAATCTTCCAGCCATTTTCTTCCAGCGGGATCGATCTGTGAGGGTCCCCCGGGCCCCAAACAATGGCGAGAACGCCTGGCTCGAAAGTATTGAAACGCCAGGATCTCACAGGGTCTATACACTCTAGGCCTCCTAGATGGGGTCAGATGCCGCATCGCCGATGCATCGGCGCTGCGGCTCGATGTGGAACCCGATTTGCGTCACGTCGGTGTCGCCGATGCATCGCCCACGTCGACGATGCATCGCTGGTGCATCGCCGATGCATCGCGGATGCATCGCGGATGTATCGGCGATGCGGCGCGATCCCCTGACACCCCATCTACTCCGACCCCATGTAGGAGGCCATACACCTGCAAAACACGCCCGGCCAGGCTACTCCCTGGTCAGGACGGGTGCCCCTGCCGCGAGGGCATGCAGACCGCTCCTCGGCCCAGGGTGGCCTGGGCCAGGCGTGGCGGTGTTGCCCTGGGCGCCTCTTGGCGCAGGCTCGGCCTGCCCCTCCTACGCCTACGGTGGCGGCGGGACTGGCGGCTGCGACGGGAACAGTGGCGGCGGAGCTGGGGGCGGCCGACAGGGGCAACGGAAAAGGGGGGGATAGGCACAGTCCTCCTCCTCCTCCTTCTTTCCTTCCACCTCCTCCTCCTCCTCCTCCTCCTCCTCCTCCTCCTCCTCCTCCTCTTCCTCCTCCTCCTCCCCCTCTTCCGTAGCCATTTTGGCTCAAGATGCTCTGTTCCACAGGGGAACAAGTGGATACCGCTAGTCCGCGGCCAGTGCCAGGGCGTTTCTGCCCGATTATTTTGTTTCCGACTCTCCTGGCCCTGTGGCTGGCCTCGTTGCTCTCCCGAGCAGGCGAGGGACCATGGCGCCTGGGGGCCGCGGCGGTGGCGGTGAGACCAAGCCCGACTGGTGCTGCCGTTCCTGCAAGTACGAGCGCGGGCCCAAGATCGGGATGCCGTGCATCACGTTCGGCTCCAAGCAGCTCTGTCACTTCTGCGGAGGCGCCAAGGACCGCAACTTCCTGGGCCATGTCCGTGGTGAGGAGGGTCTGCGCCGCGGCCACAGTGGCACCACGGGTGCTGGTGGTGGCGCAGGCGCCGGCGCCGCTGGGCAGCACCTCGCAATGCAGAGGGAGCTCACCAGGCTGCGAGAGGAGCTCAAGACCCTGCGGGCGGAGGGCAAGAAGGGCCCCGTGGCGGAGGCGCCCAATGGTGCTGACGCTGAGGAGGGCGCTGAGGGAGGAGACGAGCAGCGCAAAATCGAACATCTTGATTGCCAGCTACGGGTGCTGCGAGGCCTCTCCGACCCAGGGAAAGAAATACTCGACACGATCGAGCGGCTGGCGGCCCAGCGGCAGGTCTTGGCGGAGCAGGTGCGCGCCAAGAAGCCCGTTGTCGCGCAGCTGCTCACACTCCAGAAGAAGCTCAAGTCCAAACAGGACGCCATCAGCAGGCAGGATGCGGCGGTGGCCAAGGCGCAGGAGGCAGTCACCGCGGCGCAGGCTGCGCTGGAGGCCGAGCGTGAGAAGGGCACGGAGCTGCGTGCTGATGCTGCTGAGCTGGAGGAGCAGGTGCGGGCGCTCAGCGCCCAGGTGCCCAAGCCTCCCGATGCGAAGGAGTCCGTGGGGGCCCCAGGTGGTGCGCCGAACCTCGATGGCTTGGCCGACCTGTTCAAGGAGCTGGGGGCGTCGGGCGAAGTCACTGAGAAGTTCTTGGCCCACCCCAAGATCGCGGCGTCTTTCGGCCCTAGGGCTGCGACGCGCGCGCGGCCTGCTGGTGACGGGGATCTTGGCGGCGCGGCGGCGACGCCGCGTGGCGCCAAGAGACTGCGCGCGGCGGCGGACAAGGCGCCCCTCAAGCAGCTGCGGGACAGCATCGCGGCCGCTGGAATCCAAGTCCCCACCGAGGAAGCGGAGATCAGGGCCAAGGCGCACCAGATCGCTGCGGCTGCCAGTGCTTGGGCCTACCGTGCCTACTAGGCGTCAGGAACCGAGGCTTTGGTTGTTCTGGAGTACCATGATCAGTATGATGATGGGAGTATCTGGTAATACTAAGTACGGTGGCAGTGCGGACACTGTCAAAGGGGTGCTGACCACGGTCAATGTTTCATGCGCGAGAGGGCTCACCGAGTACCTCGCGGAGGACCCGAAGGGTGACATCTTCGGCGTGCAGGAGCACCGCGTCTTGGGTGACAAGCTGTGCTCCCTGCAGGGCCAGGTGGAGGACCTGGGTTTCCATGGTCTGTGGGCCCCAGGCGTGGCCGCAGGTGGTGGCCCGCTAGATGTCTCGAGCGGCGTCGCGCTCCTCACGCGCAACGTCATCCCTGTGACGGCGCCGCCCTTCGCGCCCTCCCACGTCCTGGAGGAGGCACGTGCGTTGGCGGGCCACGTGCACTGGGGCGTGAAGGGTGGCATCATCGTTGTGGTGGTCTACTTGAGGCACTCAGTAGGCATGGACGATGACAACTCGGACACGGTCCACGAGCTGCAGCGCTACCTCAGGGCGCTCAACGCGCGCGGGCTGGACTGGGTCGTCACGGGCGACTGGAACATGGAGCTAGACGAGCTGAAGGGGCCATGGCTCGAGCAGGTGCGGGGCGTCCCGGTCGCCCCGTCTGAGCCGACCTGCTGGCAGACGGTGGAGGGCTCCTGCCTGGACTACCTCATCGCGGCGCCGAACCTGGACCCGAGGCTAGGCGAGGCTTGGGTCACGATGGATGCGGCACTGCACCCACGCGCCCCCGTGCACGTGGACCTGGCCACGGTCGACCGCGGGGCCTTTGTCCGGGTCGCCGTCGAGCCGCGGGGGTTCACCGCGGCGCCGCCAGTGGGCGCAGCGCCTTTCCCTCATGACGAGGGTGGCGGGCGGCGCTGCAGCAGGTCCTCGCGGCGAAGGAGCCTGGCCCCCCGGCGCAGGCGTGGGGCGCTGTCGTCGGCATGGCGGAGGCAGAGCTCTGCAGCCGCTGGTACCTCACGGGGGTGGAGAGGCGGCAGCACACTGGCAGGGCGGGCGAGCCTGTCTTCAAGCTGGCCCAGGCGACGCGGCAGCCGCCGAGACGGAGGAAGCTGTGCGACCCGAAGGTCAGCGCCCACGTGGTGGCGGCGCGGTGGGCTCGGCATCTGGATGCTGCACGCACGTGATTGGTCAAGTTGCTCGGGTGCGACCTGGGCGACCGCATCGAGAGGGCCGTGGACCTCATCCTTGAGACCCACCGCCACTGCGGCAACGTGGCGAAGTCGCAGCGCGTGCTTGGCCAGCTCTCGGAGGACGTCGTGCAGTGGCTCTCGGGCGGCGTGGGCCAGATGAGCAAGAGGATGTGGGCCGCCCAGGTCGAGAAGATCGCGGCGGAGGCCGAGCGGCTCGCCAGGTGCTACAATGGTGAGAGGGGGAAGGAGTGGCGTGCGTGGGCGGCCAAGAGCCTCGCAGGCGGGGCGAGTGCTGCACACCGCTTCACGAGGCTACCTCCTGAAGCTGAGGTCCGTGGGGCCACCGCGCGGGCCAGCCCGCGCCAGCTGGCTGACCGCGAGCTTGATGGGTGGAGGGACGCGTGGACCGTCCATGAGCAGGGCGCCCTGGAGAAGCCCCCTGACTTTGACGACTGGGCCGAGCTCCCGCGGATGAGCATCAGTCACCTCCGACGTGCGGCGCTGCGTTTCAAGGGGCGCGCCGCGGTGGGCCAGACGGGCATTGCACCGCGGGCCCTCTGGCACCTCAGCGACATCGGCCTCTACGTGCTGTCGGCAATCTTCAGCCAGTGCGAGAAGTTGGGGGTGTGGCCGACCGACAGGGTGCACGCAGTGCTGGTGCGCCTGCCCAAGGCGAGCGGAGGGTGCAGGCTGATTGCCCTTGTGAACTCTTTCCTCCGTCTGTGGGCGAAGGCGCGCTCGACGATTTCGCGGGCCTGGCTCGACCGGGCGGACGTGCCCAATCTCTGGGGCACAGGTGGAGCTGGCGGGACCTCGACGGCGGCAGCTTTCCACCACAACCTGACGGCTGAGATCATGAACATCAACGGAGGGCACAGCGTCACTGTGCTCCTAGATGCGTGGAAGGCGTTCAACAGCTTGATTGGAGGCAGGCTGCTGGGCGAGGCTCGGGCGATGGGGTTTCCACTGCGCCTCATGTGGGCCATCCTCAGGTATCACCACATGCCGAGGCGCATCAAGGCGTTCGGCTCGATGTCGAAGAGCTGCACGGCGCACCAGGGCATCCTGGCGGGCTGCCCCCACTCGATGGCGGTGCTGGTGGTGGCGGCGGCGCGGGCCTTGCGGCGGCTCGCGACGTATGACGTGATCCCGCGCACGCTCGCCGACGACACATCAGTCCAGTGGATCGGCACGGATCTGAGAGGCGTGCGCGTCTTGTGGCAGGCCGTCAAGCGCTTCAAGCATGAGGTCGGGGACGTGGGCCTCTTGCTGCAGGAGCTCAAGTCTGGCTACGTGGCGACGTCCAGGCAGAGCCGCGATGCAGCGGCGCAGTTTGGCAGGCGACTCAGGATGGGCTCGCAGCCGCACATGAGGAACCTTGGCCACGACCTGAATGGGACCAAGGCCTGAAGGAAGGTCGTCAAGGCCAGACTCAAGAACGTGAGGCCGCGGCTGAGGCGCGCGGCGAGGCTACGACGTGCTGCTGGAGGGCGTGCGGCGTGCCTGTGGCAGACGGGCCTGCTGCCCGCTGCCGCCCATGGAGCGGCGGTGAGCGGGGTGGCCCCCTCCGAGCTGGCCGTGCTGCGCTCGGAGGCGGCCCGACTTGCTGGGGCCAAGGGCCGAGGTGGCAGCAGCGCGCTCTACCTGGCCAGCGAGCGGAACCCGTGGTATGACCCAGTCGTCGCGGCGACCGTCGAGCCGCTCATGCGCTACGCTGCGGTCGCGTGGCAGCAGGCGGTGTCCATGAGCGCGCTGGAGAAGGCCTGGCGCGTGACGCTGGACGAGGTCGAGGCGGGCGAGGACAAGCTGACGTGGGCGTCGGCGCGCGGGCCGCTCAAGGTGGTCGTCCTGTCGCTCAAGCGGATCGGCTGGGTGACGCTGTCGTCGGTGCTGATCCAGCCTGACGTGGGGCCAGTGATTTCGCTCTTATCCACTTCGCCTCGCTTTTTTCGCGATCTCCTGAGGCAGGGGATCCAGCGTTGGCAAATGCGCCAAATTGCCTCTCACCGCGATGCCGCCACGCCTCTTTGGCCGCGAGGCCTGCGAGCTTGTGTGGGCGGGAGGGGGGCGGCGGTGACTGGGGCGGGGAGGGTCGGATCTCTGCGCAGCCTGTGGTCTGGCTCCCTCTGCCCAAAAGCTAAGTTGTATAGCAAGGGAATGTATTATGATCAGAAGTGTCGAGCGTGCCCGCACGAGGCTGAGACGCTTGGCCATTGCTTCGTTGAATGCCCAGCGCTGACGCAGCGCTTGTTAGACGATGAGGAGGATTGTGGTCTTGATCCCAAGTTGGCCTCAGCTCGCGACGCCATGTTGGAGCATGGGCCGATTGGAGAGGGCCGCCAGGATGTATATTCTTTTGCCCTCTCGGTCGGGATCCCCAGGTGGCCCAAGGTTGAAGTGCCGCAGCCTCCTGAGTCGCCTCCTTGTTTCTTTTGGGGAGATTGGGAGTCGGATCCCGAACAGTGGGGCGATTGTGTTTTTACTGATGGCTCGGGATACCACAACGAGTATCCTGAGCTCCGTCGGTGTGGATGGTTCGCTGTCATGCTGAATGCCAATGGAGTCCCCACTCGCGCGTTGTATGGCGGGCTTGCAGGCGCGCAGCAGACAGTGGGCCGTGCTGAGCGTGTTGCGGGCCTCAAGGCCTTTCAGCACATGCCATCGGTCCAGTGCGTGATTTCTGACTTGCTGGAATTTGTGCAAGAAGGCAAGCTGTGGGGCCAAGGAGAAACGGAGGCCCTCACAGATGCGAGCCGTGCATACCCTGCAGTTTGGCGTCAGCTGGTGGCGCTGAAAAGAACGCCGCCCGCTTTTGCATGGGTCCCGTCCCACAGGACTGAGGATGAGGTTCTCTTCCCCGCTCCTGAGGACCCTCCGCCTTCTCCCTGCCTCTGGGTCGTGGGAAACGGTTGGGCCGACTTTTTTGCAAAGCTAGGAGCCCTCTCGGTCAAGCTCCCAGAGGCCCAGGCTAGGTTCTATCAGGACTCGCTGACTGCGGCTGCCCAGTATGCCAAGTATTTGTCTTGGGCGGTCCAGAGAAGCTGTCAGCTTGACCTGTGGGCTGAGAAGGCTGTCCTGACGGCGGCCCCAAGCAGGGCTCCCAGGGCCAGTGGAGCCAGAATGGTGCTGCTAATGCACGAGCATGACTTCATCGAGATTCGAGGGGGGCTCATGTGTCGACAATGCCGTCGCACAGCGAGGACCGCTGAAGCTCGCCGGCAGTTGACGGGAGGCACGGATCGACGTTGTGTGCCTTCTATGATTTCCCGAATGCAGGCAAATCTGATAGAGGCCGCCGCCAGTGCCGCCGCGAGGCCGCCGACGGCCCGCTGGGAGTCTGCGGGGGGGCTGCCTGGTGGCCCTGGGGGTGCTTGTGGGGATGGGGCCTCGGCTGGGTCCGCTCCTGCTGCTGCTGGGCTCGGGGCCGCTGTGGCTGGGGACTCGGCTGGGGTGCGCTTGGGGGGGCCTGTGCTTGCCCGCGATGGCGGGGCTGGGGCTTCTGTCGGGGCTGAGCCTGGGGGCTCGGCGTCTTTGGCCTCTGTGGAGGCCGTGCGTGCGGGGCCTGCGCCTGCCCGCGAGGGCGAGGCTGGGGCCCCGCTGGGGCGCGCTGCGGGCACTGGGGAGCCTGCGGCGGCGGAGTGGCGTCACGCGCCAGGGGGGCACGACGTCGCCGCCACGGGTACGGTCGTCTGGTGTCGGCGGTGCGGGGCCTACGGGTCCGTCAGGGTAGGGGAGGCCTTCAGCCCCCCCTGCCCTGACCCCAAAGACTTGCCCAAGAGCAGGAGGTCAGTCCTCAGTGCTCTCCAGAGAGGCAAGCACCCCAAGACTGGGCAGTCCCTCACGGGGTGACTGGAAGTCTGGGGATGTCCTTTTTCCCTCTTAGAGTGGTGTCTGTGAGCAGACGCTTTCTCTTCAGTGCTTCCCTGCTTCCCTCCTCCTCCCCCTCTTCTTCCTCCTCCTCCCCCTCTCCTTCCTCCTCCTTCCCCTCCTCCTCCTCCTCCTCCTCCTCCTCCTCCCCCTCCTCCTCCTCCTCCGTAGCCATTCTGGCTCAAGCGGAGGCGCTCCCTGGAGCGCCGCAGTCGCGTCGCGTCCCGCGGGCGCGCGCGGCCAGCTCCGGGCCGCGCGATGGGTCGTGGCGGGCGCGGCGGCCTCTCGGTGCGCCATGGCGCCTCGCTCGTGACGGGCGCATCTGTTGGCGAGGCCGCCGAGCTCCTGCTGCGCGCGCAGGCTGGGTGCATGGCGGCAGAGGTGGCGCCAGCTGCTGGGGCGGCGAGCGCGGCGTCGGCGGCTACCTCTGGCCGTTCGGCGCTCGGCGACCGCGCGCAGGCGATGCTCGGTGCGGCAGTGGAGTTGGCGGCCCTGCTCGGGTCGCCCACCTTGGCCGCTGGGCTCGCTGAGGCGCGCGCCCGAGGGAGGCGGATCCCGTCGGCCCTCCAGAGGAGCTGCAGGACGCTCGACGGGGCTGCGGCCTTCCTTTGCCATCCGCGTGAGGCGGAGGCTGTCGTCGCCAGTCATCGGCGTTGGCTGGAGGATGGCGTTTTGCCTAGGGCGGGCCTGCAGGTAGACGACGTCGAGGAGGTGTTCGGGAGCGACGGCAAGTTCGAGGAGGCTGGCCCCACGCACCGTTTGGAGCTCGGCACGCAGGTGGTCACCGCTGTGTTGGAGCCCATGGGGGCCGAGGGCAAGCTCGAGCATAAATCCACCCTGAGGGAGCTGCAGGGCGAACGCGTGCGGGAACTGCAGGCTGTCAGGGAAGAGCACAGACAGCGCATAGCGGACATGCGCACGGAGAAGGAACATCTGGTGCAGCAGCTGAACCACGAGCAGCAAACGCACCTCGTGTCCAAGGAGCGGATCAGTGGAGCACGAGGCACAAGATCTCGCGCTCATGGTGGAGGAGCAGCGGTGCAAGACCGCACGGCTTGAGAAGGCCATGGGCGAGCAACGCGAGATAGCTTTCCTCGCGGATGTCCCCGCCTTCCCCGTCCTGCTCATCGTCGGGGGGGCCCAGTCGTGCAACGTCGAGCAGCTCCAGCGCGACGGCGACGCCCAGGAGACCAACGCCCTCCTGCTGAGCTCCGCGGAGGACCAGGGCAGGCAGCTGAACGCCGTCGAGGCGAAGGAGAGCATCTTGGACGGCCAGGTGCGTTCCGCGGACGAGTGCGCGCAGGGGCCCTCGGCAACCCGCGGGGCATCGTGAAGAACCTGGGCCGTCCCCAGCACGCCTTCTCGAAGGAGAAGTGCAACGGCGACGCGCTGTCGGTCCAGGCGCGGTGGGGGGCCGCGCAAAGAACCCCCGCTACCCCCAGCCGGCGCTGGGCAGAGGAGCTCTGCGAGGACACCATGCTCGCGGTGGTCGACGTGGAGGGGCCCCATGGCAAGCCCGTTGGCCTCGCGGCGGCGGCGCTAGAGGGCGAGGAAATCGACGGGGGCGTCCTGGTCCTGGAGGCCTTGCAGTCGCTGCAGGATGACGAGGTGGAGGGCCCGTGCGACGAGCGGAGGTGCCCGGGAGGACCACGGAGGCTGCTGATCCTCCAGCGCCATTTCTTCCAGACCGCGTGCCTCGACGAGAAGGGCGTCGACCTGGAAGAGCTCCAGTGCGTGCTGTCCGAGCTCGAGCAGCTCCGCGCGGCCCAGAGATCC